TTCAGCCTCGACCTCTAGACAGTCGCGGCCTGTGGGGATGAGCCCCTGCCCTCTCATGCTTTACTAGGGGTTTAATTTCAAAGTGCTGGAGCAGCTGATGCTGCTGAGGGTGCTGCAGCCATTCAGACAGCTTTATTCATTAGTAATTAGGCAGGCGTTGTCTGGCATCTAGATTAATCCCACTTTTAATTATTTTGAAACTGTGTGAGATTTCCCAGGCATTAAAGATTATGTACGCACTTGCTGATTCCACAGCAATTATTCTAATGTAATGATGTCTATTAATACACTTCCCAGCTTGCCATGCCCAGAGGGAAAATACCCAGTTGCCCCCTATGGAGCACACACCTCCCGCACGGCGTAACCCCCCCTATCCACCTGCTTATATTGTGCCAAATAATATTTTCCTTGTGCTTCACCTCGTTTTAATAACATCACAGAGCTGTTGCTACACCAAGTACCAGGCATCGATTGCAAAGGGGGACAGAGACCCCTCGAAGCTCCGTGTCCCCTCGCAGCCACAGAGCAGAAGCTCCTGCTGCGAGGATGGGAGCAAAGACCCCGCTGGAAAAGCAGGAGCATCCTTCCTTCCTTGGGAATCTGCTCCAGGGCTCACACCCAGATGCAGCTCACCCACAAAAACCAGCTTATATTTGCAGGGCTTTTTGAAAAGAAAAAGTCACAACATTTCCATCCTGTGTCTAATCATTTGACTTGAAATTAAAAGTTTAATTCAGCTTGTGGATCATTTGAACTTGTTACAGATTGCCTTCACAATTTAAAGATAGTATTTAGAAGGAGAACGCAATTTCAAAGAGGAACAATAACAGAAGTGTGAGCAGAGAACCTCAAAACAGAGATGTTCTGAAATCTCACCCTTCATTTGGCCTAAATATCCCTTGAACTCATCCCTTGCCACTTTATTTCTATCATTCCCAAACTTCATTTACCAGAAAATTTACTATTCACTGGCAAAACGAGAGTTGTGCCACTTGGCCACCAAATTCATACTGTGGAGCTGAGACCTCATTAGGAGAATGAGGGCTCGAGTGAGCGTTGTGCCAGGAGTCGTTTGCAGTCCTCTGTCCATGAAGGCCCATCAGAAAAGACATATATTTGACATAAACCTCTATAGTTTACTCGTTAATAGTTTATATAGTTTATGTAGAGGTTTATGTCAACAACTGCTGGTGAACATCCCTGCCAGCAAAACCCTTTTTTGCAGTCATACGAGGGCAGATACCAATTCAAAAATCTGCCAATACCAAAAGGCAGCAGTTGTATTGTCCCGAAAATGAACACTCAGCCCTCACTATAAATATTTCAATTGCTTTGCATATATATTGTTTCAGCATTTCATTGCTCCCAAAACAAAAAGCAATCTAACCTCACCTGCCTGGCCTAATGTACCCTTGCAGAGCTAAACTGCATGACAAAGCTTCTGGGTAGAAACCACGGGTAATTTCGTTGATAGATCCTCTTGAAGCTTAGAGCCAAATTCGATTTCAGGTCTAAACTCGTCACTCCGTCTCTAGAGATAGCAGAGCAGCGATATTAGCATGATGGCAACGCAGTTGACTCTGAACTCAAGAAATGGATTAAATGAAATTACACTCTTCCCTGATGAGGCTGGTGGAACAAGGAGATTGCTTTAGGAAATCCAGAATTGAATTTCATAGGTAAGAGTTCGGATGTTGTGCTATTTGCTCAGGAAGGTTTTGTTCAGGCTGTTCCACCCGGCCACGCAGGAACCCCAGCTGGCAGTGGGGTGGGAAGGACAGACAGCACTGGCTGCCTCCAAACCCCAGATCCCACCTTTGTTTGAATCATGACTTGGTTTCTCATCGCTCTGTTCACCTTGGAGGCAGGAGATCCCCACTCCCCTGTTTCAGCATCCCCATTCCTGCCTGTGCTGGGAAGGATCCTCTGCTCTTTCTCTTCCTATGTGCTGCCACCCCGACAGGGTCCAGCAATAACCAAACCATCCCTGGCTCCACCCAAACGCTTTAGAGACAGAGATTTTTTTAGGAAGTGGAAGATTTAAACCTATCACCTGCTTGGAAAACATTTCTCCTGCAGAAGATGTCTCCATAAAGACGCCCTCTCCACCTGGAGCTGCTCTCTGTGCCACCCCAGGAGCACACAGGCCGGCCTGGCAGTCCAGGTCTGCAGCTGAAGGCTTGCATTAGCTTGACAGGTTCCCTCAATTATCTGGTATTTCTGGCTGAAATTGAAGACAGGAGATGTTATCAGTTTTTCTTTTCCTTTTCTTAGTGAGAAAAGGAAAGGAAATGAGATGAACCATCTATGGCATTGGTATGTGACGGGTCTTATTCACGTCTCTGATCGTTTGGCACAATGTGCTAATTTTAAAAATTACAATAAAAAGAAAGCCCATTAGTTCATTTTTACTCAAAAATGACATAATTGGAAGCAAACATATTACAGCATACTAAAATATATCGTATGCTATATAAAGAAGTTGCAAAGTTAATTGACAAAAATCAGCTGAGCAATTTACTTCCAACAACCCTCACGCACCAGGTACCCCTTTAGGTAAGGTTTAGTCACAAAATATTAGCCCCAAACATGGCACTTTGCAAGGCCACGCAGGTTTCACAACTAATCAACTTTCCAATCTTTTGGAGTGCAAAATGAACCAACCCATTCCCTTTAACATCACATATTCAAGCTTCACATCTCCATCTCCAAAGTAACCCTCAGCTCCACACACTGAGCCACTGTGGTGGAGGAGGTAGAGAAATTGGGAGCAAAGTTGAGCCTGGGAAGAAGGAAGGGCTGGAGGGAAGGTGTTTTTAAGATTCGGTTTTATTTCTCACTACCCTGCTCTGATTTCATTATAATAAATTAAACTAATTTCCCCAAGTCAGGTCTGTTTTGCCCAAGATGGTAACTGGTGAATGATCTCTCTCTGTCCTTACCTCGACCCATGAGCCTTTCGTTCTATCTCCTCTCCCCTGTCCAGCTGAGGAGGAGAGTGATGAAGCTTTGGTGGGCACCTGGAGTCCAGCCAGGGACAACCAACCACAGAGAGGAAGGACATCTCCATCCTCACAGGGGAATTCAACCAGGTCTCCTACAGACACCTTTGGGTCTACCAACCTGCTGTGAGTCCTGCAACCCTGCTGATCTTTAATAGCCAACAAGAAAAAGTGCCTCTACTCAAATTGTAATAAAGCATCATTTCTAGTTGAAATTATGCTCAATTAATTCTCGCCTGCTTTTGCTTCTAAGTCTGGTTTAGCTTTTTTTGTGTTTTAAAATGTTCCAGAAAAGGATACAGCAGGATGCACTGGGAATCATCACCTATGCAGCATCCTCCAGAGCCAGCTGGAGCAAAAATGGAAGGTATCATGTAAAGCTAAAAGAATAACCACACACACGGACATATACACATGAGAACAATCCCTTAACAATGCCACAGACCATTGACAATCATATTGAAAATCAGCAGAAACCACAGCTTGTTTTTCTGAGCAGCACTGCTCAGAAAAGCAGTCAAAACCCTCTGCAACAACTCCTGAGCCAAAGACAGTCCAAAGTGGCTTTGTCCTTGAAAGCTGTGGGTTAAATACACTTCAGAAAAGCTGTGATTGTAAACTCATATACTTGCCTGTCAACTGCCATTTCATTCGTGTCAAAATTACTGTTCATTCTGAACTGCACAATTCCCAACACGTCGTCAATAAAGAAATAATCACACGAAAATCAGAACTCTGTAGTTAAATTTTATTTATCAGTTCTATTGTTAAATTACACAATCAAAGTCAGTGGATCGGCCTGTAAATCTACACAATAAGACAGCATCTACAGTGGAAATCAGTAGAATTTGATATGGTTATGACAAAACGGTATCCTTATATTCGTACATCCCCTATATACAATAAACAGTATACACAAAGAAAATGCAACTAGTCTCTGTAAACCATGCACACCACAGCAGAAAAACAAAATGCACCTTCTGCAACAGGCCCTCCAGCTCGCCCACGGTTAAGTCCTGTTTACAGCAGTGCCTTTCAGTTTTAAGAGCTAATTATTTTCCCCTGTAAAAACCAAAATACAACTGAGACATCGTATTGGCAATTGCAGTTCTTATTTAAAAAAAACAAACAAACAAACAAACAAAAAAAGATTGCTGTACATGAAGTTATTCTCTTTTCCAAGCTGCTAATGCAGGGTATTGGTTTGCTGCTGCTTTGCTCTCTGCTTGCCCCTGGCAGGATTGCTGCCCCCAGGTCACAATACAATGTCAGATGTAAAACAATTTTCATGTAACTTAGGCGTGGAGCCGTATGATGTCTTTAGAGCGTTCTGCCTCGTTTTATGCTCCCCCTGCCCTCTTGGTGTATAGAATATTACAGGCAAAAGGCAATAGTGCAAGTGAGCCTCGTAAGCATGGCGTACATGGGGACAAACCCCACCCTTTTCAGGTGTCTCCATCACGACGCACCCACACCGAGATCGTCATTTAGCGCCAAGCTCGGGAGCGTTGCAGGCTACGTACAAAATTTCTGAACTTGCTGAATGTATAGCCCAAGCCCAAGCCTTGCAGAGGTGGTTTTTTCTGGTTTTGTTTTGTTTTTTTTGCATAGAGATTTATAGGAGCCCCTCACACCTCCTGCCCCATCTCCTCTCCTGGTTGGTCTCAGTGAGGCTGAAGGGCTGCAGGTGAGCCTGGTCCAGCTCCAGCTCTACACCCTGTGTCCCGGCAGAGCCAGCTTGGGAGAGGGCTGCTGCACCCCCGTGCACCATGCAACCTCCTCATCCTGTGTAACTATGGCTATGGTAAAGTCACTTTCCATCATTTTTAGTCAGCATCCATCTGTCATCGCTAAGAAGGGCTCAAGATCGTAGGAAGAAAAAAAAAAAAAAAAGCCCTGTTCTTATCTGGTGTAGCAAAGATTTACTGAAGTAAATCCTAATTCAAGTGTAAATCTACTTCTGTTGAGCAGTTCTCATCATCATATTGCTGGGATTAGAGAGTTTTATGACTTTTTAAAGACACTACACAAATATCCGCAACATAATTTCATCTAGTTTATACCACCAATTATTAAGGAACGATAAATTCAGCGTTATGTATTCTAACGGGTAAGACAGACTTAAAATTAGACACTGTCACAAGATTATAATTTGGAAAAGGTTTTATGAAACATGAAGATGTGCTATAACTTTTCCAGAATGGTTAAAATCATACTGCCCTGAAAAATTCTGGACACAGTGTCTTTAACATTGGCATTAAGTTCAGAAACTTATGTATGTCTCTTTTTTTTTTTTCTTTTTTTTTTTTAAATATGAGATAGACCAAGCTTAAAACTCTAAACAGCAGTAGGTAGAAAAAGTTTAAAATTTTAAATATTTATATAACTAGAGAAATTACTTCTATTCCTTTTAAAAGCCAATATTACACATAAAACTAGTCAATATTTTTTCTAGACCTTTATGGTTCCCTTCATCATCCATTCATTAACTTGGTAAATATCATAAGCAGTCGGTGCCCTTGAAAACACATTATTAAAATAAAATTAAGATAAAATCAAAGGGAAAAGGTTTTGCTCATATATTGTATTGTGAGAGTATGCTAAATGCTCATTATTAGGAAATGAGTTTGCTTCCCAGATAGATTTCAGCCGAGCATCATAAACATTTTCCAGCATCCCATATAACTAATTTACGGATTTTTTTTTTTTTTCTTTCTTTTCTTTTAAATAAACGTCCAAGCAACCATTTCCGATGAGCCTACTTGGCTCCTGTATGTCATAAATAATCCAACAAACCTAAAAAGGACAATTTAATTACACACTAAGATTAAGTGTTCCACGTACAGTACAACATTTACTGCAAAGGCAACTGCAAAGGCAACATTTTAACCTCTTTTTGCTTCAAACCCTCGAGAAGTGTAATTTGTTTGGGCTGCTCCTTCGTCTCCGATCGGCGGGTTGGGTTGGGTTGGGTTCTGCTTGGCTTTCGGTGTCCAGCGTGTCCCCCAGCCCAGTCCTACCGCCGCCACCGCTCCACGTTCCCTATGTAGTCAGTGCTGGAGCTGTTCTCACCCTGCTCTCTCAGGCGCGCTTGCTTCGCCCTCAAGATCTTGCGTTGCTCCTGGCGTTTCCGCCGCGCTTCTTGGTGCTCCTTCTGCCGCATGTACTGGTACCGCTGCAAAAACAGGTCTTTTGCATAATCGTACAATTCCATGTCTAAAAAATTGAGGGTCTCAATGCGCTGCTGAGTCTGCTCATCTATCTCCACGCTGGAGGCCCTTGTGCTATTGTACTGAGTGAATGGCGAGATGAAGTTCATGTTGAAAGTCTTCTCAAAGAGATACTGAGTCTTCCGCTGAAATTCAGTCAGGCCGAAGAAGGCCATCCGCTTCAGGTTCTCCTTGGCACTGTCTAGCAGAACCTTATTTCTCTGCTCCTCGGGCATGACCGACAGGTTGTAGCATCCCACCAGGCTGAGGTCGGAGAGCATGCGGACCTGGCGGTTGTTGGCGAGGTTGTAGGGACAATCCATGAACTCCTGCAGGGAACAGCCTGACCAGTCGTCCCCCGTGTAGCAGCTGGGCAGCTCCTCGGTGGTTGGGGACCGGCCGTCGCAGACGTGCAGGGACGCTTTCCATGTGGCTCCTCGCTGGACGTGGCGCCATTCGCTCCGGTATCGGGAGACGGGGTCACGCAGAATGGTGATATAGTAGAAATTCCTGCCAAGGGGAGAGGAAGGCAGAGGGTTTAGTCCCGTGTGTCTCCAGCACACAGTGCATTGATGTTCAAAATCAATAGAAACTTGGGAGATGCACTTAAGAGGCTTTCAGGAGCCCTGCTGCAGAGTGCTCACCTCTCCAGGGTGAAGGAACAAACTCTCTGGGGGAGTGGGAAGGGTCATATCTACCAGCACACATCTGGCTGGCTGTGCTTACCAGGTTTTTCCTCTACAGAGGTGGAAGGGAACCCTAAATGTACCTCTGTGTGGCTGCCCAGGTGACAACGTGCTCCTGTTGGATGCCTCAACTGATGTTCTCCCCAGACCTTGGGATAATAATCAAAATATCTCCCAGGGTAGAAGCCTCAACCCAAGGAGGGCACAGGTAGCTCTGGCTTTTTCATTTTCTGTACACAACAGAGCTGGACTGACAGGTTTACACAGTCTGCAAAAAGCTGCTCGTGCTACTTCTCCTAGTGAGCAGCCGCGGGTCTCGGCTGCACGGGCCCCAGCGCAGCGTTACACCCATGGGGAAGATATTTCCTACATGACGTTTCCTCTCGAAGGCCAGAGAAATGGGATGTGTGCAGAAGCCCCAACCCACTGGCACTGAAATGAGGATCTGGGAAAAGCCCGTGCAAATCCTGTTCTATCCTCCTACTTTCAGCTGACACAACGATGACAGAGGAGAAATGAGTAAATAACAGGGAACTACAGGATGCATTACAGCACTTTGTAAGAGAAAATATCCCCAAGGGAGGTGCTGGCTTTGGTTTGGAGCAACAAGAGGGTGGCACATGTGGGGGACATGCTGCCACAGGGAACCCCATCAGGCTGCCAGCTGGAAAAGCTGCAAGTTCAACCTTATGTGCACCATTAAGAGATCACTCCAGGTTGCACGTTAATATCTGCTGCCAAACACTGTATGTTTTCCACCGTCAGCAGCCTGAAGCCACACACACACCGAGCTCTTCACACCTCCTTTAATATGACCCCGACCTCAGCGATTTTGCCGGAGGTGTCCTGTCAGGATATCAGCAATCTGCTTAAGTAAATGGAAATAAAATTGCTCAATAAGCAAATTGTCCTGCCAGGAAAGGCCACTCCTCCAGGATGAGGACATGGAGGAGCATGTGCCCGGGAGCCCCCGGGGTGCAATCACCACGTCCTCATCCTCAGTCCTCATCCTCAGTGCTTTGTAAGGACTAGAGGGACATCCATTTGCTTTCCCAAGTGGCATCACGACTGGCCACCCCTCAGCCAATCTTTTGTTCCCTGTCTTTTGTTCCTTTGTCAGAAAAGCCACTAGATGTCAATGTTTTACAGAAAATTGTCTCTGGATGGAATAAAAAGGGAATCACAAGCACTGAAAGCATCCAGCAGCACAGGGGAAAGAAAACCCGGAGAGTCACCATTCTTCTTCCCACTTAGAGCGTCCAAGCTCATAAATAATTAAATAAAGTACAATAAATTTGCAAAACCAAAGGAGCCCAGTACAGCATCAGTGGCCGAACACAACGGCACCTCACGCTTGGAGCATCAGGACACCACCGTCAGCATTATCGCTGTCCCCATGCTCACCCTGGCACTGGTGCTGTCCCCCCAACTCTGAGGACTTTGGACACAGGTTGACACAGGTGAAGGGAGCCAAAGCCCCCGCCACAACCCCAAGGAAGGTACTTCTTCCCCAACCTGGCAAAGGGAAGGGGCTTTCCACAAGCACCATCACCCCAACCAGCCACTCAGATGACCAGGTGCTGCTCCCTGTCACATTTGTGCACCAGGCTCTGACGCAGCAACAACATATGACACAATGCTCCCTTTCCCCATGTCTCTGAGGACATCAGGGAGCATCACCAGGGCAAACTCCACCCCCTTCTTTAACTCCTGCCAGGAGTCCTTGCCCTTGGAACCAGTTTATTGGGATACTGCACTACAATAATACTTGACCCTGAAGCAGTAACAAGTTAGTTCCACACAGCATGAACCTCTCAACTAACTATAGCACCCAACACATAGCAACCAACCTCCGATGACCGAGGAGGCAACAGCAAAGCTCTGCTTACCCCAGAGCATCTTGTACAACCTGGCCTGTCAGCAGTTCAGCGACGCTGGGAGGGGAGTGGGCTGCGGGCACCGGGGTGCTGCCGGCTGAGGGAGAAGGCCACCAAAACCATACGCTCTAAGGTCATCACAGCAATCGATGGGGAGTTAATGCAAGAAGGGAAACAAATCCTGGGCCAAGATCGATATAGCAAACGTTTTATCATAGCTCAAACTCTTCAGCCATGCTCCCTTTGTGCTCTTTGGTCACAGGCGGTGACAAAGCACCTCCCTTGGCTGCTGTTGTAAAAACAAAAGAATGAATAAAAACCTGTATGTTGGCGGAAGAAACTGTGTGGTAATGGATCACCATCATCCCAGGTGGCCGGTGGCCTCAGCTAAGCAGAGATCTCCATCAGTGCCTGTCAGGGGAAAACACCGCAGTGGAGGGAGACCAGGGAAAGGAGGTTGAATGAAGATGCTGATGGAGCACGGAGGTGCCTGGGCTCCCCCCAGCACCCTGTGCTCAGGAAGCCAGGACATCAGTGGGGATCCTTACGGAATGCCCCAGACAGAGCCCAGGTCCTGCTGGACCTGAGCACAGCTCTTTGCAAGCAGGCCTGTGGTTGTACTTCTCCTTCTTTACACCATGTTGTTATTTCCCAAATGAATCCTGCTTTCAAGACACAACTTACAGAGAGACGCTTTGTCAGCTGCTGGGCCAATCTCGGCTATTTTGTGTGTTTCTCCCCTTCTCAAGTTTCCCTCTTAAAATTCTACGGAAAAAGGCGTCGTCCCTGTTGGGAACACCAGCTTTTGGGTTTGCCCCAAGCCACTCTCATTCAAGTTAGAAATCACAGCAGCTCCAGAAAAGCAACTGCGCTGCTGTGCGTTTATCTGAACTGAGCTTCAAAAAGTCACAAAAGCTTTAATGCATCATCAAGTCAGAGCCGTGCCAGAGACGGACTCGGCCATCAGCGCTTAGAACATCCTTCTGCTGCAACTGGGAGGAAGACGCAAAGCTTTGCAATTATTTTTAGCTCAGTACATAACAGCTTGTTCTTTCTGCTATCTTAACAAGGGGGTGTTGAGCTCTTGCCCGTTCCCTGAAGCTTGTGCTTCAGAGCCTGAGACAACAATGTTTGCAGGTAGAGCTCAAACTTTACTGTGAATTATCCCCCCGACTTGAAGAGCTGCACTCATCACAAACACGGGTTTTCTAATAAAGTTGAGCTGAATGCCTATGAAGAAGAGAACAAAAGGAGCTTGCAGGCAACTCGATAAGTAGGTTGACCCTGGAGCCATCAGGAATGCGAGATGGTGTGACAGTCACTTGCTCGTGGTATCACCCTGTGCACAGCTATTCCCTGAGGAACCTGGGGACCGAACAGTCCCATGACACCGCGTGTGCTCCCCACGCTGCATCACCCGCTCTGCTGATCGCACTGGTGCAAGGCTGAAGCCAGCGCGTAGTCGGGAGCTGTGAATTATTTGTGCATGACCCATTACCACAGAGGAGATCAGGAAAGGTCAGAAGCTCCCCTCAGACAAACGCTCAGCTAATGGCTCTCATCGAGTGCTGGGTGTGAAAGCTGGGCTGCCTTCGTGCTTTGACGCTTCTGCCTGTGGGTGGGACAAGGAAAATGGCAGAGACAGGCAGGGTGATGTGCTGGAAGCTAGGGATGGAGAGAGGAGAGATGCTCAGCCTCCCCACAGCCACAGCAATTCCAGCCCTCACGCTGGCACACCAGCTGCCACGTCAGCCCGGCATCCCCGCTGTGCCAGGAAAGCCACATTTCACCCATGGGCATGAACTGCAGCTCCCTCCGAGTGACCCAGCACAGGCACCATCTCTGGTGCTGCCAAATGAACACCCCATGGCTGGTCCCAGGGCACTTCAATAACCTGCATGGTCATGGAGATGTTCTCTCCTCCTCCTCCTCATCCTGCACAAGTACTGTTGCCCCATGTCAGCATCCCAGAGACCCCACACAGACAACACACGCCAAGCTGGGGGGACAGCACAAACCCCTGCCTGACATTTTTGCTTTGAGATTACTTTTGCCAAGATAAGATTTTTTTTTGTTGTTGTTGTTGAAAGGGACCAAGAAACGTGTGCTGTCAGTGGACAGACCTGCTTTCAGCCATCTGGTTCCTCAGCCCAGAGCAGCCCCTCTCTCCTTTCTGCACTGTCCCTGGAGAAAATACAAAGCAAACTGAAACCTCAAAGACTTCAGTGAATATCTCTGAGGGGTTTATTGAGACCGAGCCATCTGCTCGCTTTGAAGGATAATTCTGTGGTCACATAGTGCATCTGTGGCAGCCCCTTCCCCACCTCTGCCCAGCACAGGGGCTGAATGAGAAACCTTTTCTCCAATCTAATGATTTTTTTTTAAAAGCTTCCTTGTAGCAAGCTTCTAAAAGCAACATTAAAGAAAAAAAAAATAAAATGAAGTCAAAGTGAGGAGGTGTGAAACCCCAGGGGATGACAGTGCTGAGTAAAGCCGGAGACTTCAGAGCCCAGAGAAGCTGCCAGGGAAGGGACGTGCAGCTCCCCATGCCGTGGAGCTCAGGAGGCTCATCGCGTGCGGAGCTGCTCTGCTGAAATAAGGTGTGCAAAGGGTGACTTTTCTTAAGCATCAAAATGGGTCAGAACCTCCCGAAATAAGAGTACATCTCAACACAACCCAACTGCTCTGGCTGTGCAAAGCAGGACTGCAAAGCAGCAACAATCCAGGCGAGGCAGAGAGAAAGGGTTATGGCCAAACCTGTGGGCCACCAGCAGCTGAGCATCCATCCTAAGGGCCTGAGAGCAGTGGGCTGTGTGCCAGTGGCAAAGGGCTCACCAGGAAACTCTTGTCTAGTGGCTTTAACTCCTGTACCTGCTTCCCAGGGCACCTCAACCCCGATGGAAAGGCTTTAGGCAACTGCTTTGGGGTCCAATCGGGTACCATTTCCACAAAGACCACAACTAGGGCTGGCTTCAGCTTAGCACGTCTGAGCTCCTCTGGGTCAAAA